GCTTGGACTGACGGGTAATTTGTGATTGAGGTGGCTTGGCTTCAGCAGCTGCAGTGAGTTAGGGGATGGGGGTCACCATTTGCCAAATAGGGTGAAGCTATAGCCAGAATTTGCCCCCAGCCCCAGTGAGGGTGTTGCGCATACCAAGTCCTTTCCATCCTTTCTGGCCTGGGGAGGCTCCTGGCCTTTGCCTGCACAAAAAGCTTGGGAAAAGCTAGGTTGTGTCATGCTTTCTGTCCTCCTGGGGAGGTTTCTGAGGCGGCCCCAGCACTGCTGAGATGCTTAGGAGAGAGGAAAAGCGAAAGAAGAGGAAGCTGCCCCATCCCCACCACAATGACCCTGGTTTCACTTCAGATCTGAGGACTGTTTCTAGGTTAGTCAATGGAAAGCGATGTCGGCAGGGGTAACAGAGCCACGACCAGGCATTTTTCCCCAGGAGCACCCCTCCTTCCTGGGCCACCCCTGGACTCAGAGGTTGGCTTTCCTGTTAGCCCTTATCTGTGGGGCTGCCAGTAACATCCCGTAATCCAATAACCTAATGGGCCCCAGGGCCTGTGTTTGCTGTCTTTAAAATCTGTTTAAAAAAATGATTGCTTTGAGCCTGGCTACACTTGCAAGCAGATCAGTTAGAAAGACTTGGCCTCCATAAAGGCTCAGCATCTCAGTCCTCATCATTTCCTGCCTGCTTTTCTGCCTAACAGCATGCCCACCCTTCTTTGGGGGGCTGGTGGCAGAGAGGAGTGAGAGTGAGGAACTTCACTGTCTTTCACAGCCCCTTAAAAAATACTCCCTAGGTGGCCCAGACACCCCCCAGAGCAGGGGCTGAAATTAGAAAAAAAAATCCCTGATTTAGGAACTTGAAAGAGAGAGCGAGGCATGGGGAGCTGCAATGGGGAGACAAGGCTTCCCAGCATGACGCTGGTGGGACCTGCCTCTCCAATGACTGCTGATGGTCACGCCAGAGCTGCGGGCCTGGCCTGGAGATAGCAGCAAGATGCAAAGAGGGAGAACTCAACCCAAAAATCCCGTGCTGTGAAACACAGCAAGGGAAAGCGGGTGGCAGATAAGAACATGTCGAGGAAAAACACAAACCAGAAGTTCCCGAGGAATTTTGGAAAGGAAATGGGGAATTAACTGCAGAAAAGGTGGGGGAAGGGGGAGGGAAGGAGGGGAGCAGGAAATACACAGCAGTTTATGGCTCTCGACAAAATAGTCTTGTCTATGCCCTGCCATCTCGCCAGCCACTCACCATCTCTGCTCTCCACCAAGGGGACACCCAAGAGAGTCGGCTGAGAGCGGCTCCCAGCTAGGCAGGCAGCTGGTGCCAGCTCCCCAGTGGCCAGGGAGCAATTCCAGGGGAACAGGGGGAAAAAAACCAAAAACAAAAGCAACCTGCCAGAAAATACTTTCCCCGCTTCGTTGGATAGGGAGAGGGGGCTGCAGGTCTTGTCTCGCCGCAGGTGGGAGGGGGGCAGCGAAGGCCAAGGCTGGCAGGCGCCAGGTACACCTCAAAGTCCCTCCAAGCAGCCTGGCTTCGACAGTGCGGCACTTGGGTGCCTCGCTGGGGGGCAGAAACCTTCCCCTCTCCTCCCCTTTTTTCTCCCCTCATGCTTTCGCCTGCCAGCACAAGCCCCACGGCATGGGAGTCCCCTAGCAAGCAGCCCCTTCGACCCGCTCCTCACCCTGAAGCTATTTTAGAGAAAGGCAGGAGGTATTTTTAGTGCTCTCAGCTCCCAAGAGAAGCTCTGAGCCTCTGAGCCGCAGCAGCGCTGGCGCCAGGGAAACTGCCGCTGCTCTGGCTGATATTTCTTGTATAATTAAACTCAATCCATCCCGGGGGCCGGGTCTGGGCCACCAACTCAGCAAGGAGGGGAAGGAGCAGAGCCAGAGAGCTGGGGGCTGAGGGCTCTGACAGATGCTGGAAATTGCTCCATGAGCAGTGGAAAAAACAGGCCTGAAGCTTCTAGGGGAGCTGTTTTGTTTCGCTGGGCACTGGAACAGCTCCAAGGGGGATTTAACAGGAGCAGCGCTCCAGCAAAGACAAAAGACCCTGTGTCACCATCAGCTCCATCCCGCTCCCCAGCAGAGGGAAAGAACGGACTCCAGGGAGGTGTCCAGGGCTGGGCAGGCAGCACTGCTCCAATGTCAGGGCTGGAGAGAGAAAAGGGATGGGGACAGCCACAATCCCCAGCTCTTGCAGGAAGGGATTGGCCAGGGGGGGCATCATCCAGTCACACCCCTTCAGCGCGTAAAGGCAAACTGGGACGGAGCAGCAGGATTTGAAGAGCTCCCAGCCATTGCAAGGAGCACGGCAAGCAGGAGAGATCCCACCTGATAAATGAGGGACAGAACCAGAGCTCGAGCCATGCAGGAAGTTGCTGGGCTCTTGGGTTAACAGCCATCTGGTGAACACAAGCTGCGGTCCCAGGCTGCCAACAAGCCGAGCAACCCCTCCTTCTTCCCACGCCCACCCCACGCGTCTGTCCTGGGGCCCCGCATCCGCCGTCGAGGAAAAGACAGCCCGGAGAAAACACGGCACCCAGCGGAATACTCCCTGTGCAAAAAGAACAGAGCATTTATTCCTGCGCTCCCTTAAATTTCAAGATACAGTTCCAGCGATCCAGACGCCAAGCTGGCATTCCAAGCAACAGTATATTTTATATAACTGATTTTTGTTTTTGCACTTTATAAAGCCATACAATGAACTGCAAAGAACCAGACATCTGTACAAAGGGGAAGACGAAAGCGGAGTCACATTCGCACGTGGACATGGTGTGACCGAAGTCATCTTTACACACGCGACGACATTATGGGCACAAAGATACAAAATATAACGTATTTTTCCATCTATATAAATACACAGAAATGGGAAGGTCTAAAAGTTTTAAACTGTTCATTAACACTGATTAGCAAATAAATCTGTAACATTCCCAAAGTAACAAAAACAACAACAAAAATAACACGCGTAACACGGCGGCATAGGATCCGCCAACAGAAACATCGGGTTGCTTCCTTTTCCTTTTTTTTCCCCCCTTCTTAAAGGAAAAAAAAATTAGTAACCCCCAAACCAACCTCACAATTTGCAAAACAAACAAACAAAATCAAACAAGCCCCTGCGGGCTCCTTTGCTGTCTGATCTTCCTGCCTGCTCCAACGAGACGGGAGGGTTTTGCTTTTTTTTCCTGCTGCTGTCTGGGCTTTTGCGGCAACTGGTCCCTTTCCCCGCCGAGCGGGGATTTGTTCAGCCCCAGCACACTTTGCCCTTTGGTTCAGTCTTTAAAACTGGATGAAAACATCAATGCCAGGAGGCTGGGCCGAGCCGGCACACGGCCGCGGGCGGGCGGCGGGAGCTGAGGCCAGCCTGGTCCCCCCTGCGCTCAAAGGTGGGAGATCCAGGCAGCAACTGTTGCATCCAGAGCAACCCTAAGCTTTGCACGATTCAGTTGCTTAAATAAACGCGGAATAAGCCCCCCTCTCCTTGCCCGGCACAGCAGATATTCGTCTGCGGGAAAGACAATGAGAACTTGGGCTCCTGGGGACCCCCCTGGGTCCACGGCACATCCCTTCAGCACACAATGACACGGATGCTCCACTAAAATCATTTCCAGGGGCCATAGTATCTGGAGGCAGATGGTATGAACAGATATCCCACGTTTTACGTGCCATGGGGAGGGCCAGGCACCACTTGCCTTGCCGGACCTCAGCTAACAGGATCCCCCACCTCAGGGTCAGCTCTGTGACAGATCGCCCACTTTTTTGGGACACGCAGCAAACAAACCTCCAGCAGGAGTGTTTCTGGCAGCAAAATCGATAGCAAAGGGAGGAGGGGTGAGAAAGGGGTTCTCCAAAGAGCAAACCAACACGAAAAGGGCACATACAATAAATTTACACACACACACACAAAAAAAAAAAAAATATATATATATATATGTGGGGAAAAGTGCGTTTTTAAGGATATCTTTGGCAAGAATATATGCAGTTCTTTGTGCATGAATGTGGGATGGGTTTGTGTGTGTGTGAGAGAGATAACATCCGGCTGCTGAAAACGGCAGTGTGATTACAACGAAACATATGCTGGGCTTAACTTGCACAAGCTCGAATCTCAAATACCATGACTGCATTTAAAACCAAAGAAAAAACAAAGAATCTTTTCTGTCCCTTTCTTAAAGAAAAATATCAACATGGTACTAGGCCCCCGTGGGCCCCAGGTGGCACAGGGACCTGGGCGATCCCTCAACACCAGCTGATGGTCTCTTCCAGGCAATAGGGGACAGAAAGGGAAGTTACACATGATAACATAACTTTAAAAAAGGAGATTAAAAAAAGAAAAGTGCCTTTATAGGTAGCTGACAAACACCTGGCTACGCCATTGGAAGGTGATTAGCTCTGTGTTAAAAAATACATATATAATCGTTGGACGATTTTATTAGTGTTCGAGATTTGGACGTGGTCTAAATCTCTGTCTTCAGCTAGTGAGTTAGTATCAAAGCTGTGAGCAGGTCACAGCTCGAAGCAGGCGTGATGTTATCGGCAGGTATCTGCTGTGGTTGGTTTATACGTGACATCTCTGGGGTGCTTTAATCTGCTTCATTTTACAGGGAGAAAAAGATGAATAGGAGTTTCAAGCACCAGTTTCCGAGGCAGCAGATTAAAATAAAATTACATTATTAGCATCTCTTTTCTTTCTTAGCCGTGAGAAAACAAAGTCTGAAAAATAGAGACTTTCAAAAATATATATTTATATATCTATAAACACAGTGTTTCTCTAATTGGTTAATGGCAGGGTTAGGAGATTACGGGTGAGATTTCTTTTTTCATCTGGCTTGAATTTCGCAGAAGGAGGGAATCGCTTTTGAAACGTCAAAATTAAAAGATCCTCACATCCACGCGGATGGGGAGCAGGGTGTGGGGGGAAGCCCCTCCCCAGACAACC